TTGTTTGTTTGTTTAAAAAGTCCCACTGGGGAGAGGAGAGAAAGGAGGGAGGGACAGAGGGAGGGAGGAAGGGAAATTTACTAGCAATGTTAATCGTACCCCAAATCTAAACTAAACTAGCTAGTATCATTTTTGAGTAACAGCCAAGACTAGTGACAAGAGAAAAGAACATTTATGTTTTGCACCTGTGAAAGCATGCAGTATCATCATCAATTTTGCAATATTCCCAAGAAGCAGTTGGTACTGTTCTGCTTTGGTACTATTATATCATAGCTTCTTGCTGCAGTTATACACGAACTGTGTTTGTGCACTTTCAGCACAGTACGGATATTGTCCGCCAAAGTGTTTAATTACACTATAGTTTAATGCCAATGACTTATATAACTACCAGATTTGACAAATCAAACATAGGTACCTTAGAGAGAAAAAAAAATCCGTACTTCATATTTCTCTCTGGAAAGAAAACAAACCACTTTACTTATGTGCTTTTGAAATATGCCACTGGAAAAAAATGTGAGACAGATGCATTCAAATGCCTTTAGCACAAAACAAACCTGAGATGAAAAAAGCCAAAGAAATGAGTCCTTCCAAATTTAAAGCCTGAAAAAACATAAAGCCACTTTCAAAAGACTTAACTTTTCTTCATTCTGCCTCTCACAAATTAAAGATAACTTTCTACTTCCATGGTCCTTCAAAAGCAAGGACTTAACTTGATCTTTATATATATATATTTTTTAATTTTTTAATTTTTTTTTAAGAAAATATGAGTCTGGTCAAGATGACTCTGTGACTTCACACTTCAACATGTCTCTTCAGTGTCAAACACATAGTAATGATAGAGAAAATTTTAAAAAACACAACTGAAAACGTAAAGGCAAGTTCAAAAACAGGATAAACATCATCTCTCTAGACAAGCTATAGACACAAATGCAAAGCAGCAAAAGAGCTAATGGTGCAGGCTTGCCAAGAAATAAGTCTAGAAATAAGAAAGCTCAGCTCCTAGAAGATGAAGGGAACTAAAACTTCCTGCCCAAAAAGACTTGTGAAAGGTTTGATAGACATAGATACAGATATGTAAGAATAGATAAAATATTGTCTTTGTCGGCTCTGTGAATGGAACTACAAATACCTTTGGTATCACCACAGCAAAGAGCTACCAAATATCCAGTATCCAAGACTCTGGTTTAAGGGTCAGAGGATCAGGGATGGTCCTTATACAGCAGGGAGTGCTGGGTACAGCAGAGGGTACAGGAGAAAGAGCGTAAGAGTGGGCAAAAAGAGAGAAAACAAAAGTATGTCCCATTCGAAATGAGACCACACAGCATGATATCAGAACACATGCTGAAACTAAGAAAGAAGCAAAGCAAATCAACAAACAAAACATGAATCACTCTGGATAAAATAACTTTTATGGAAGAGTCTCACAAAAGTACACTCAAATAAATATTTCAAGAACACAAAAGGATAATAAAGGAATAATTTTCATTTAAAAAGTAATTATGAAAGCATAAAAGCCAGTAATTAAACACAAAAGATTAGAGGAAGGATTTTAAATATTAAAAATTTGTGTAGAAATGTAAAACTCAGTGGACAGAATAAACTCCAGTGTGGAAAGAGTTGAAGAAAAAATTGATACCTAAGAAGAATACAGAACAGAGCAGATGACTTTTTTAAAGAATAAAAGCAAAATAAGGAAATTTAGAGGACCACTTAATAGACTTCCAAAAAAAAAAATGTCTAGTGAAAATTCAAGAGATAGAGATTTCAGGGAATACCAAAAAGCAATATTCAGATTCAGGCAAGAAATTTCCAGCACTGAAGGAATGTAATATAATTACTGAGATCAAAATTGTACTTAGAGTACTGAGAAGAACAAATAGTGATTAAATCACATACCGACTAATTTTCACAGGTAAAGACAGAATCTTGAAAAATATTTTATGTTCAATGCCCAAAATTTAGAAAATACAAATAAGCAAAAGACACAATTTAAAAATCATCCTTATTTCCCATACAGAGATAGCCACTGTTGATATTAGTGAAAGTATTCTAATATTATGATTCAAGTTGTCTTTAACTCTTCTTTCTGTTTCACACAAATACCTTTCCTTGTCATTAATATTATTCTATAACTCTTATTTAAAAACTGGGTAGCATTCAATTAAATTTAAGTGCTTGATTTAATTAATCAAGCAATTCATTCTTCATTTTTTACATTTTTTACAACCGTTACCTTGGTTTTAGATGCTCTGAACTTCCAGGATGAGAAGGATCAGGTCTTCTAAAAATGTACAAACAATTCTTCTTTTCCATATCAAAATGTTTCTACCTCTAATGCTTAATATAAAAATGTTAAGGATACTGTAAAAAGTCTATCTCATCAAGTTTTAGTTTTTAAAATAATGCAACTTGAATATTTGATTTTGAATTCTATTACGAGCAGTATTGGTAGAAGTAGGATGAACACTTCAACTTGACTGTGTAATTTATTTTCATAAAAATCTCTTTAGAGATCCCTGTCTAGTCAGCAAATAATTGCTTTAACTTGGATTTTAATATTAGCACTGAATGATTTATGTACATTAAATAATGTGATTCTCACTAAGCATTTATGAGCTTAGAATGATGATCTCCCTTCTGTGGATACTCGCACTTCAGGGAAGAAAGGTTAAGTGGTTTGCCTGAGATCACTCAGCCAGTCAATGGATTATCTCAAAGTGAGATCCTCAAGTCTTTAAATCATTAAACTAGGCTGGCCTCAGCAATACTTGAGAGGCATAAGGAATATGCACTTAGATATTTCCTCAAATGATTTAAGTCACATGATAACGAATTTGTTTATAGAACATTTTTTGTTTTTTAATAAACAATTTAGCCAATAAACAAATATGAGACATTATAAACATGAGCATAGTAAGAATCAAAATGTGGAACGTAGAGCACAATACGTAGAGACGTAGAGCAACAATTTTCAATTAGCACACAAACTACACTGACAATAGAATCTATCATTTGCTGAGGGGCCGGGGGAGAAAAGGACAATTGACAAAATGTAAATGGAGTAGCTTTCTTTTGTGGAATTGCTATTCAAGGTTAGATTTCAACATACTCTGAATGAAACAAACAGAAATCTTGTCATTTGTTCATGAGGACACATGCATTGCCTGAGAGCAGTTCTCTCCATCCCCAGTATAAAGTATTTGTATGTGTCAATCTGTCCTTACCAACCATGAGGGCAAATGGGTTTCATATATCCCTACACTACACAGCTCACATGAATGGGAAACTCTCAGAATTCAAGAGTTTCAACAGTGATTTTATCAGAATTAGAAGTGACCTTGGTAAACTAGAGTAGAGGCCAAAAACAAAGTGGAGCAATTTATTGGAAGGACAGTATCAGATTCATATTACCAGGTAAGAAGGGAGAAGGGATCCGCCCACAGCTGTGCCTTTTGTAGGGGTGAGGGAAGGAGGGGACTTAGGGTTTGTTTTTACCATTAAACTAAGTCTACAAAGTTATTTTAGGAAAAAGTATTACTAAATTATTTAACAAGTAATCACTTAATGTAATTGAGGTTTTGCTTTAAAAATAGGATGACCAACCATGCCTAATTTTCCAGCAACTTCTCTGGTTTTAGCACGGAAAGTACCATGTCCTGGGAAACTCTCAAGCCCAGGCAAACCAGAAAGACTGGTCAAATTTTAAAAAATTAAGTGTGTTTATTGTCCAAAATTTAGAAGGCACAAATAAGAAACATGAGAATTAAAATCATCCACACTTTCAGTAAGTAGAAAGAGCCACCTTAATATCAGTAACTGTATTTCTACTATCATCTCTATAGAATAAACTTCATAAGGCTGAGGCGGAAGGATCGCAGGAGCCCAGCAGGTCGAGGCTGCGGTGGCCGGGAGCGGCCACTGCACTCCAGTCTGGGCGACAGAGTGAGACTCCAACTCAAAAAAAAAAAAAAAAAAGAAAAGAACAAACTTCATGACAATGCAACTTGCTATTGTTACATATGGCAAGTGCCAGGTTACTATCATGTGAATTGTCTTTTAAAACACTAAATAAACTACGCCAATAAGGGAGGAAGCGGGAAGGAGGGTTATGGTTCAGAAACTGCCTATGAGGAACAATATTCACTCTCTGGGGAATGGGCCACCTGAGACGCAATTCACCTGTTCCACTATACAGTAAGTCCATGAAACTATACAATACATCCATGAAATGAACATGCATGTGTACCCCCTAAATCTAAAACAAAATTTTTTAAGTCCAAATAAACAGTTTTTCTCTGTGCCTCTTCATCTGATTGCATCATCCTATAAACTCGGATACATTTTCAGTTGTGTATTGACCATTTCTGCTATTTATTCTACAAATTCCCTTAACCTTATACTTTTCTTTATCTCTGAGACACAGTACCAACCAGTACATTAGCAGCATGCTTTCTGAGTTCTGATAACTGTATCACAGTGTAATCTCACTGCTCAGGGGTATACAGCCTTTCATTGCTTATTCCATTTCTATTTTCCCTGTAGGCCAAGGAGGGGAAATTTCTACCTAGGGAGTTTAGCATCATTTAACATTGATGTTACTTGTCCAACAATCTCCTACATGAGTGAGACCATATGTCAACCACAGTTAGCACTTAAAATTTATCAATACCTGCTTATAAACACAAAGCTCTTTTTTGTTTTGTGGGGGATTTAACTTTCTGAAAGGATTTCAAGTCCTGCTTTAAAGTCAGGAAGACAGAAAGAAAATAAAATGCAGTGTTAGAAAAGAAATATATCTTTTATCTCTTCGAAAATGTTCACACTTGGCTGAGGCCATATTTCAGGATTACTGTGATCCAGAAAGTACCTCTCTCATTGAAGAAGTACTTACTAGCCATGTGTGAAGCTACTCTGTTCTTGCCAATAACACACACAATAACGGCCTCTTCTGTTTTACTTCTAGCTACACAATGCCGGCTGGCAGTCCTGGGGTTGCTTGTATGATTGAAATGACTGCAGATGGAAAACCTCCAATTCAGAAGAAAGACATCGAGACTTCTTATACCTCTGAGGTACACATACAAATATCCAATTCCAAACATTAAATATGCTCCCAATATTTCAAATAAGTATTTGTTTTTAAGTGACTGAACATTAATATTTCTTAATTAAACAGATTTCTTGTAAAAACTCTCAACAAAGCACCAGAAAATTCATCTTATACTTTAGGTATCATTAAATATATTTAATGTTGCCTGTCACTATAAAAGCTTCATTAAATTTAACAATAAATTTATTTTCCTGTCACACTTTGGATTTAATATATTGTGTTTGATTTTTTTTTAAAAAAAGACAGCCCAGAAATGGAAATGGATTAGAAAGATATGACAGTTTTTAAAAGCTTCTATTTTTATAAGATATGATAGTACTTGTGATGCTATTGAAAAGTCCATTCTCACTTTTCCCGATTTGCATTGGCCAGAAAATTTTTCTTAGAAACATGGAATGAGTCTAAATTGAAAGAAAAGAGGATGTCTGTCCCTCCAGAGACAAGGTAATTTGCTGAAATCTTTCCGTTTTAATGATGTGGTTGGTTACATGCTTCTTAGCATAACTTTATTGTAACACGTTTAAGATAAAGAATTCCTGGTTCATTTGATCATCATGGAGAGTTAATCTGTATAATTTGAGCTATAATTTTGGTAGACATTAAAGCTGCCAATATGCACTGCCCTAATGAATTGGAAATTTAATTTTATTTCCATTTCTTCTATATAGTCTCTTTTTGAGTATATATAAGCATCCAAAACGAAGCACATAATAACATCTAACATTTGCATAAGCACATTCTATTTTCCAAATGATAGCCTTATACATTATCTCACTTGATATTCAGAAGAACTTTGCAAAGTAAGAATGATTATCCCATTTCTATGGCTGAGGAAACTGAGTATCAGACTTGTGCAAAATTTTACAGTGATAAGGAAAGAGACTCGACCCCAAACTTTCTGATTTCCTTATTCTTTTTGTTCCTTTATAATACACTCTACTGCTCTTTATTTGCTACTGCAGCAGACTCAGAAATGTTCGAGTGGGTTGTAGGGCAGGAATAAAATTGTTCTTATGTATTAAGAGTCATGGTAGTGTCCAGGAGAGCCAAATATTTAAATTCCAGACATGGGCTGTTTAGGCAGTAGAAGATAGACAAAACACTCATTGCTTTGTGAAAAAATGTAGCACGTTCAGTATGACTACATCTTTATTAACTTGTCATCCACTTTTAATATTGAAAGCTCCATATTTTCTTATATTTTCTAATCCTAACCCTAACCCTACTGACTCTGACGTCAGTACCACATCTTTAATACATAAAATTCAACAAGTGCTCAAAAATAACTTTCTATGGTTGAAAATTACTTTATAGTTGATCAATATTACTTATCTTTGTAGGCTCTTTGACAAGTCAGTTGCCGTGCCTTTTAAGCTGACCAAATGAAATACTGATCAGAATGTTCCAAGTAGTACACAAGCACACACAGAGTTGAACAAATACACACAGTAAGTCACTCCAAAGTCTCTGTGGCCCTTCACTGCTGCCACTATAGAGGAGCTGGTCATATGCTTTCACTACTCTCTGCCTGTAATATTCAGACCAACTCAAGGGCTCTGAAGTCTGAGTGCATCACTGGTGCCTTCTAACTTGTGTTAACCCCAAAGCTCAGTTCAGTCACCTTTGAGGAGGTTGTTTATGGTGAGATTCTTTTAGACTAGTCCCTGGTCCTGGTTACAGTATATAATGGCCTCCTAGGCCAGTCTCTATGGCAGGATCTTGTCTGAGGAAGGACACCTAGAGGTGGCATCCAATTAGGAATCACACATGTTGCTACTTCCCTTTTTCTCTATAATTACGGTGCAAGGGTCATGAAAACTTGTGGGGTAAGGATATGTACCAAGGGTTTTGGAAACCGAAGCCAGTTAATTTTAAGAGTCAAGGACTTTGGCACAAACTATCAAAATTACGTTCTAGCCCTGCCTCTGCACATTATAATCTAGTAGGGATTGTTAAGTATATTCAAAGTATTATTGCATACAAAATATTATTTTTTAGTGCAGAAACCCAAAATAAAGCTAAACTGAAACCAAAACTACTACATCTCAAAATGATATTAGAGCTCAGATAAGAGAAAAATACCTATATTAACTTGGAGAGATTTCTATTTGTTTGGTTATTGTAAAATTAAAGAGTAAAAATTTATTTATTAATTAATTTATTTATTATTTTTTTTGAGTTGGAGTCTCACTCTGTCATCCAGACTGGAGTGCAGTGGCCGCTCCCGGCCACCGCAGCCTCGACCTGCTGGGCTCCGGCGATCCTTCCGCCTCAGCCTTCCCAGTAGCTGGAACTACAGGTGCGCGCTACCACGCCTGGCTGATTTTTTGATTTATTGTAGAGATGAGGTCTCGCTGCCCAGGTCTCGAACCCATGGGCTCAGGCAATCCACTCATCTCAGCCTCTCAAAGGTGCGGGATTACAGGTTGAGCCACTGAGCCCAGCTAAAAATTTATTCTTAATACTACTAATAATAGCTAAAATATACAACACTGTGTTCCAGACAATATTCTAAGGATTTCTCATATTTTAACTCATTTAATCCTTATCTAGCTAGCTAGCTTTGAGGTAAATACTGTCACTATGGCCAAATACAGAGGAGGAAAATAAAAGCACAGAGAGATAAAGGTTCCTGCTCAAGGTCACACAGCTATGTGGGGATTTAAACCCAGACATTTTCACTAGATAGTCCATGCTTTTAACCAAAACTATGAGGTCTCACATTTCATGTGATGTTTTCTCTTACTCTATTACAACTATTACTAAAAAAAAAATTTTAAATATATAGTACAGTGTTGTTAACTGAATATACATTACTGTTGAAAAGAGCTCTAGAACTTTTTCATCTTGCATATCTGAAACCCTATGCCCATTGAAAATCAACTTTGCATTTCCTCTCCCCCAAGCCTCTGACTACTTTCTGCTTCCATGAATTTACTTTATATACCTCTTGTAAATGGAATCATGGAGCTTTTGTACTCTGTGACTGACTTATTCCGATTAGCATAATATCTTCAAGGTTCATCCAGGCCATACCATATCACAAGATTTCCTTCTTCTATAAGACTGAATACTATTCCATAATATCTATATATTACATTTCCCTTTTTTGTTTTATTATATTTTATTTTTAATTTGAAAACAATAAGTATATATATTTATGAGGTACAATATAGTATTTCCATACATGAATACATTGTGAAATGATCCAATGAGACTACGCGGTATATCCATCACCTCAAATATTTATCATTTCTTTGTGGCAAGAAATTTAAAATCCTCTCTTATCTGTTTTGAAATATACAAAGCATTATTAGTACTCACAGTCACAATGCTGTGTGATAGATCACCAGAACTTATTGCTTCTACCTAACTGAAACTTTGTACCCTTTGACCAATGTTATCCCTTTTCCTGTCTACATTTGCTCCCCACCAGCCTCTTTCTGCTTAGATGAGTTCAGCTTTTTAAAATTTCACATGTAATTGAGATCACATATACCCTATTTTATTTATCCATGAATCCATTGATGGGTATTTATGTTGTTTCTACCTCTTGAATAATGTGAATGATGCTGCAATAAACATCAGAGACCAAACAATCTCTTTAAGATCCTATTTTCAGTTGTTTTGGGTAAATAACCAGAAGTGGGTTTGCTAAATCATATCTGACATAGTTTGGATGTTTGTCCTCTCCAAATCACATGGTGAAATGTAATCTCTAATGTTGGAGGTGAAGCCTAGCGGGAGGTGATTGCATCATGAGGGAAGATCTCTCCATTAATGATTTGATGCCATTCTTGCAGTAGTGAGTGAGTTCTCGCTCCATTAGTCCCACAAGAACTAATTGTTTAAAAGAGCTTGGCATCACCTCCTCTTGCTTAAGCAGATGCCAGCACCATGCTTTATAATTTATCTTTATAAATTACCCAGTCATAAATTGTCTTTATGGCAACACCAACACAATATGGTAGTCTGTTTTTTAATTTTTTTCAAAAAATTTCCATATGTCAACTACAGTTAGCACTTAAAATTTAGCACTTAAAATGATCCATAGTGACGGCATCATTTTACATTGCCACCAACAGTGCACATGAATTCCAATTTTTTCACATCCTTGCTAACACTTGTGAAGTTCTGTTTTAGATAGTAGCTAATTCTAACAAATTAAGATTAAAGAAAATGATCTTGACCGAATAAACACTATACTCAATGGTGAAAACATAAAGCTTTTTCTCTATCATTGGGAAAAAGACCAGGGTGCCTACTCACTGCTTTTATTCAGCATAGGGCTAAAGGTCCTAACTAGAGTGATTAAGCAAGAAAAAGAAACAAAATGCAACTAAATCAGAAAGAAAGAAATAAAAGTATCTTTGTGCATAGACAACATGATCATATGCATCATTTCTTGTGATCTTTTTTTATTTTGTGGCATTACTTGTAATGTTTCCTTTTTCATTTTTGACTTTAATTGAATCTTCTCTCTTTTTTTTCTTTAGTCTTACTAAAGGTTTGTCAATTTTATTTATTTTTTCAATAAGCCAGTGCTTCATTTTGTTGATTTTTAATTTTTTTAATTTTCTGTTTTATTTATTTCTGCTCTGGTCTTTATTATCCCCTTCTACCTGACTTTGAGCTTAGTTTTTTCCTACTTTTTCTAGTTACTTCAAATTAAATTTAGGTTAAGATCTTCCTTCTTTCTTAATGTAGTCATTTAATTTGTAAATTTTTTAGTCCCTTTTGCTATTGATTTCTAGTTTTATTCCACTCTGATCAGAAAGGGTATTTTAGTATATCAATCTTTGTAAATTTTTTAAAACTTGTTTTGTGACCTAACATGTAATCAGTCTTGGAGAATGTTCCATATATTCCTGAGAAGAATGTATTCTGTTGTGAAATGTCTTATGTCTATTTGGTCTATGTTATTAGGTCCTTGTTGTCCTTAATATTTTCTTGGTTGGCAAG